GTCAGCCATCCTAGCTCAATCTGTGAGCCCCAGAACAGCGAGAGACCCTGTTCCAAAACCTAAACTGAACATCCCGAGGGACCACACCTGAGGTTCATCTCTGACCCCATGTGCACACACACAAACCTAGCTTCCGAATATACACACTTACACTAACAGAAGTTAAACAGCTGTTACTTACCAAAATGTCCCATTATGTCCAAAATATCATCTCTGATATCAGACACATCAAACATTGCTAGGAAGGAGTCGAAGAATGAGCCTTCCTCTCCTTCTTTTATATATGGCTTATATGAAAAAAAATAATGACATCCAATGGCCACAAAAAGCATTTCAATGCAGGTTATGGAATCCTACAAAGTCACACAAATATCAGACATCATTGGGCTTCGATCTAATTTTTCAAATAGCTAACTTTTCAAAGTTACTTAGAATGTCAATAACTTTGAAATATAATCCAGATTATATTCCTTTTCAGTATTTTTCCCCACTTCATAACATGACAAGCAAAGTTTGCATCTCTTGCTTTCCCTCACTCAAGAATTTCTCAGTGCACTGAAAGGAACCATGCAGACATAAGCGGACCAGGAATAAAATCAGTACCCATCAGTCCCTATGGGCCGCTGCTCTTGGGTTCTCGCTCCTCACTACAGAGTAAGCTAGCAGTCTTGCCCACTGTTTGCACGTTGGCAGGTTCTGGGCATCACTGCATTAAATAGCTTAAACAGTAAAACCCCCCAAGTTCAGAGACAGCGCTAGTTACCTGCAGGCCTGTGGCCATAGCTTCAGCACTTTGCCATACCCATCTTAGATTGTGGGAAAATACTCCAGTTTTAGCCAGCACAAAAATAATTACTCCTTGCCTAGATGTCAAAAAGAGGTAAATGTCAAATCTAAATCATAAAATGACCAGCTGTTTTATGCAATTAGGGGCTAGGGAGGTGGCTCGGTGGGCAAATCACTTGTTGTACAAGTGTGAGGAAAGTCCTAAGTGAGAAGCACAGAACCCAGGTAAGATGGGCATGTAGCACACACACGTAAAGCAGCGTTCCTGAGGGGAGCTGAGAGGTGGGACACAGTATGGGGAAGACCGCAGGCCAGCAAGCCTCATGTGTGTACAGTGAACAATTAAGAGACCCTCACCTCAATGCAAGACACGGACACCCACAGCTCCTCATCTCCACATGCACACATGACACGGGCATGTTCCCACTCACAATAAACACATACATAACATATACACAAAAAGATTAAAATATGCAACCACAAACAGTTAAGGCCTCA